CACAAAACAAATGCCATATTTGCTGTTTTCTAATTAATCTTTTTCATAAGTACATCGCTAAACCTGGTTGTTGAAAATCGTGATGACAGTACTTAATTTTTTTAGGGTGTTTGCACTACGTGCTCATCTCGAATCATCAGCATCTGAATCTAAATATTTACTGTTAAACAAATGTCATCATTTGTGCAATGAAACAGAAATTTGTTTCTGAATGTTACCTGTGCTCTTTCTGTCTAGATTCTTTCATAATCTTTTCTGTATAGCTCCTCCAATTGTAGGTGAATTTTCCAGACTGAGGAAGGAGGGAGAAAAGCAAGAAATTTGGGATGACCATTACAAAAATTTTAGGTTTTGTGTAATTAGCATAGGATAAGAGGACCCATAACCTGGGTTACAGTGGATCTTCCATTCTAAATTACACAACCACTGTGTAAACTCGTTTAGGTTTAGAACGTTTGAAAATGCAACTGAAAAGTTTTTCCATATGGATGGTAGAACTGTTTTGGCTTAAATTTACCTAAGAACCTGGATTAACTATATGTTAAAGAATGCAAGACTTGTGGATTTTATGTTATGATGTTAAAACACCTAAATTATGGAATCATAGAATCATTGGATTGGAATAGACCTCTGAGATCAAGTCCAACCATTGACCTGATACCACCATGCCCACTAAACCTGCCCCGTATTAAGTTAATTAAATTAGTGGACAAGTAATTAGTATTTAGGTTGCATAATATGCAAGGATGGAACAGAAGCTTACCTTATTTTGAAAGGCTGTATAAAAAAGTAGATGGAACTTGATTAGTGCTTTATTATTGATGTATGTTTATTGTAACTTAACACTGCCTTGATTTGGAGTGTGTAGGACCTGGAGTATTCTGCTTCTTTCATGTATTTTTACATTTTTTTACTACCAGGCCTTCCCCCCTGCCCCCTCCAGCAGTGAACGGGTTTTATTACCTATGGTTGTGGCATTGATGCCTTTACTCAGGGCCTCTTCTCAGGTGTGTAGTGTTTGCAATGGCCATATTTCATCCTTAGACTTGCCAGCATTTAAGCTTTCCTGCTGCTTTGGAAAGGACTATGCATTTGGCAGGTTTTTTATGTCCTGAGACTTGGATGAAATCTGAACAGAAACTTGAGAGCCAGTGTAGTCCATCTTTAATTACTAGCCTCTAGTTTAGCAGGGTGCTCATTCCTACCTGCTGAAGACTAGTAGTATGCTTCTGTTCATATGCTTCTGTTCATAGGCAACCATTCAAATGGTCTCTGGTAAGATGAACTGCTTCATTCTTCAACAAGTGTGGCATGTTCTTCAGACATTAGGAAAATTTCTTCAGCTTCAATCCACTCTGCTAAGTGAAAGGCCAAACTTGAAAATAAGTGTTTCCAGTTTCTCTGATGCTATATGACTGCATCAACTGCCTTGGCACCAGCATAGTCTGGCAAACCTCAGACAATTTCATAGACATTCAATATTAGTTTCACTTGGGGCTTCTTTTTCTGTAAAGAAGGCTCTCTAAGAGTGATCTTGTTTGGGATGGCAGAATCCTGGTCTTACAAAGTAGTGCTTTAACAGTAGGTCAATGTGTCCCATTGTTAGGAGACTCTACGGAGGTCCTATTGATGTGTGTATGTAGCTAAAGATTCTGCTGTAGCTATTTGCTGCACACTATTTGGTCATCGGGCACTAAATAAATGAATTGTCGTTTCTGAGAGACAATAAAACTGTGGACATGGAAATGACCATATGTGAAAGGAAATTAACTTCTGATGGTTTCCCCTGTCCGGTTCTTCCAAACTGCTGTGGATGAACTAAGCAGTGTTGAGGTTCAAGCTAACTTCTTCCAAAAGTTGGACTGTCCAATAACATGCTTTTTTTATCCAAGCCCACAAGAAATAGCACCAGTCTTATGTAAGAATTAGCCTGTGTCTGTGTTTCTGGCATGCTTAAGCTTCTGCAGCTGTAGAAACTGCACTCTTTAGTAGGACCCATGGTTTCTCTGTGAGTAAAATGAGATGGAACAGTGCCTTGCAGGGATAGTTCTGGGTAGCTCAAGTGAGTAGTTCAAAGATCAGTGCCCTGAGTCAAGAGCCTCAAAAACTGTTAACTGTGCAAAACAACACCTAACCTTATGTGAGCTGTGTGGGTCAGCAGTTAAGAGGTGTTACTGGAACAGCACTTGTCCTTGCAAATACCTGTTGCATTATTACCATCAGTTTTGGTTGATAGACAGGTTCAGTGATATATCAGCATAATTTGTGCTGATTGCTAATGTGAGAATATGTGTCTTTACCCATCCACAGTGTTGTAATAAAAAGCTTCTGTAAATGATGCATCTTTGTCATATCTGGATCTTTGGTTGGCTTTCCTGTCAAATGCAAGTCACGTTACATTTTCTTTATCACAACAAAGCCTAACTGAAGACAAAAGAAAATTTAATAATGAATTACCCATAGTATATGGAGCTCTCTATAAATCCCATACAGGTATTTGGTGGTTGCTTGCTTGCTTTTCTCCTTCCAGAGAAGTGTTAAGGTTTGCGCTGTGTGATGCATCACATCTTAAGGATTCTCTGCCTTACAGTGCAAAATGATTCTCTGCCTTTGTAATGCAAAAATGATTGTTTAGCCTTCTTCCCCTGTTCTAGGAGAACAGTATTTATTACATGGTGGCCTCATCTTTCCTTTCAGTTTTCTAATGGCTTTATCTTGACCATCTTCTGGTCACAGAGGTTTGCACATCACTTTATGTTGAATAGGATCACCACGTTCTCACTGCCTATAGGCTTCTGATTCAAAGGGTTTCAACTTCATGCTTCAGGCCTTCATGAGTGCACTTAAATGACTGTTCTCTTACCTCCTTTCCTCTTGTCTGTGAGGGTTGTCTGCTTATCAGACGGCAGTGCATATGCCTTTTTATCATATACAGAATTTCGTCTATGCTTACCTCCATTTTTTCTTATTTTTTTATCAAAGTTTTATGTCAGCCGTGAAATTAACCCAATACTCTTCACTGCCTTCCAACTTCTAGAAGTTTGTCTACACTTCACAACCTAAAAGTCTGAAGGGGTTTTCTAAATGTTTGTAGAATCTATGTAGTATTAAATAGTAAGCTTTTGCTCTGATGATTATATAAGTGTTCGTTTGCATATACTATAATATGCTTTGTCGTATATTAAAGTGTTTTCTCAGCTTCTTAATGGCATGAAAAAAGAGGGATCTTTGAACTTAGTGTCTTCAGCTTCCAGCTGAAATACACTTTGGATGGTCACTGAAAGTAAAAATTAAAGTTCTAGCTTTTTTCCGAGTTTGGTAATACATTCTAAAATTAATATTACTGTGATATACCTTTGGCTTCTAGCTCCACTTTCCATTGGTCTGATGAGGACAATATCCGTTGGGGCAATCAAATAACTGGAAGGTTTCTTTGTTCCTCAAGAGAGGGGGACAGGAGCATCACAAACTTTTCAAATTATAGTAGACAGACCTAACGTTCCATTGATTTTTGTGGTGTGATTTGTGGTTCTTACATCTTGGATCTGTTTCTCGCTGTCTGCAGACTCGGGCAGTCATTTCATGTCAGTTAAGTCATTTCATGTCAGTTAAAATCAGTTTATATTATCTAGTTTTCAGGTAAAGGAAGAAAATTCTCTGAATAGCAGCATGTCTTTTTTTGGAAGTTTAAGACTTAAAATTGGAAATTCAGTGATAGAGATATTATTTACTTGTTATTCAGAGAGGAAAGGCACTAACAGAGGCAATTACGCATAACACTTTCTTTTGCCATTCTTAGAAATGCAAGGGACTAGCATGAATACATCTGTTTGGGACTTTGAGGAAATTCAGATGTGGATGCAAAACTCGCAGTTCAATCTCTGAGGCTGCAAAACCGGAATAGCAAATTAGGGAATTTATATTCAGAGCTTAGCTCTGCTACTTAGATCTACGTCTGTTTAAAAGTGATTTGTGAATACCTAAAAAAAATATCTGGGAACTTTGAGGAAAAAGGGAGTTACTGAGTACTTCAAAATTGAAAAGGTAAGAGAGATTTGACACATAAAAGTACATTTCAATCAATTTCTATTTGTTTTCGTCTTTCAGTGCTTGCCTTTCAAACTACTCTGGCTCTCACTCTGACACTTGCTGCATAAACTGTTCTGCTGATGTTACATCTGCAACAGAACTGCATAGGAACCTGGTATCAGCTCACCACAATTTGCATAGAAGTGCAAATTTGTTACATTTAAAGAAGTTATAAAATTAAAATACTTAAAACCATGTGGTTTGGTAATACTGGATTGGAAACAGCTCGCAGTCTTTTATAGTCTGACTGTGCTCAAATCAGAGTTCCCTGGTTGATATGACATGATTATATGTTATGATTACAAGTGTTAACCTTTCAAAATAAAATGTTCAGTTTCTTCTTTTAAATACCAAATGCTTGTAGGTATAATACTTGCTGATATTTGTTCACTGACAGTCTCACTTGTTTTCAAACCCCACATATTTAAAGTTGTGGAGTGTTAGATTGATGTTTCTTTTCACTCAAACGTCATATTCATCAACGGTATTGTGCTAGCAGATTGTTAAACAGACAAGGTGACTTGCAGAGTGACAGTGTAGTGATGTGATGTCCCAAACCATTAAAATACAGTAATGATGTGGGTTTTTTCCTTTTGTTCAATCAGTTTTTGCAACACATTGGTTCTTCTGAAAAACACAGGTGAGAAGGTTTCTGGGTAGATCTGTTGCTTGGAACAAATCCTAGTTACGGAATAACAAAACCTGGGAATCAGTTGTAACTTCCCAGATAGTTGAGAAATGCCAAAGACTTAGAAAAAGCTAATGTAACAGTGTTTTATAATAAGAAAAAGATACATTATGCTATGACAAAAATGAAATTACTTGATACGTTATACTTTCTTACATAATCAGTTTTGCAGAATCATTTTTTAGGCTATAGTAAAAGTTATTTTATGATTTTACTTGAACAGCCTCCCAAGAATACCACAAGAAAGGAAGGAACTTCTGCTTAACATTGTATCAGCTCAAATGTCTGTCTCAACTTACCAAACTCTTTTTATTAATGGAAGAAAAAATTGAAGACCTCTCCGCAGAAATCCTGTTGGTGCCTTCGTTTACGGAGAGGAATAAAAATGTTCAAGGTAATGAACACTTTTCCTTATATATAGATTCTGCTTTGTGCAAATGGATAATTTTATTTTCAACATTATTTACCTAATTTATGTCATCACATTTTATAAACAAATGCATTACCATATTCACTGAAAATCTTTTTGAAATATGCAAGTTTACATTTCAGCACAATGACTTGTGGAAGAGAACTGATAATTGTGCGTAAAGATGTGATGTACAGTAGTTATCAATGGAGAATCATAATGAAAAACTATCAAACACTGTAACATAATATCTCCTGTTGAATTATCTATAAAATCCTGTGTTTCATACAGGACAAAACAGTGCATGGAGTCTGAATTCTTTGAATCTGTGACTGTTTCTGAACTTGTCCTTGAAAGTTGCCTTTTTCAAGAGAGAAAAACATGAACTTGAACATCAGTTTAATTGATCTTCATATACATGCAGCTACATGTTTTAGTATATAGTCCTGCTTTAACCTATTGTTCTCACAAACACTTACTAATATATACTATGTGTACTATCATGCTTATCTCACTGGCTTCAGTGGGTATTTTATAGAAGTAGGCTCTACATCAGAAAGTAGACTGCTTCACCATCAAGCCTCAAGTTTGCATTTTGCTTTAGATTCCATGCTCACTCTCTTTTCCATGTCTAATTGCATTCATGTCACAGGAGGAGAACCTGAAATCCTGAAAATTCAGGTGAATATGACCTTCCAGGTGACAGTATGCTCATAAATGTTCTTCTACTCTGCTACTTCTGCCAGTAGAGAGGCTCCAGGTCACCAGAGAGCAAGTGGTTTCAAGAACTTCGATTATTTTGCAGGAAAGAATCAGACCAGAAATGAGACCAGGCTGCTTAGGGAGAGAGGCTAGGTGGAGTCAAATATTCGATATCTCTGTAGTCAAGCTGTGGGCTGAGGAGAACAGTGTTTTGGATGTGGTCTTGGAACACTAAGTTGATAAAAAATAAAAAAAAAAAAAGTTGAGTAAGGTAAGTTCTGAGGCACACATTTTGTTGATGGATTCTTCATCTAAAATACTTACGCTCTGAAGTAAAGAAATACGGGTTAACGTATGTATTTTCAGAGTATACTTCGAAGCTCGAATAAAATTTGCATTCAAGTTCCATTTCTGCTATTGGTTCAATGTATTTCTGCCTCCTTTAATCTTTCAGTTTCACTAATTCTCAAGAAATGTTAACCTATTATACACTGGTTTATGTTTTATGGCCTTCATCCTACAAAGAGCTGTTAACAGTATACTTCTCGTAGGGGTAATGTGGAGGGTAGGGTATGCATTCAGTAAGGGTAATTTTAAGTGTTCTTTTTATTTTTATATTGTGATAAAATATAAAGAAATTGAAAAACTCTTGAATGGGAAATTTATTTGACAGGTTTAACTGCACTTCGAAACATGTGATCTCCAATAATTCAGAGAACTTAATGATTTCAACATTAACAAGAAATATTTTACTTTCCAGGGAGTGTATTTAGGACTTTGTCCTGCAGGCATTTCTCCAAGCTTAATTACATTGAGAACTGTTCCTCAAAAGTGTGTTAAGCCTTCTTTGAGGAATATTCTTTTAGAGTAATCATGTCTATAGCAAGTCGGTTCTTAACTGGTACCTCTACTTAATGAAATCTGAATGGGAGATATTACTAGATCTTCTGTAGGAGGCAGTCTTCTGGATAGAAGACCTGTTCTAAAATTACTTTTACCCTGAAACAGAGGTGAAGGTATATCTTTTACAGGTGGTTTTAGTGAAGTCATCAGACATACCTTTGTTTTTGTTGTTGCTGTTCTGATCAGGTGGTTTTATTCAAAAACTTTGCTCAGTTATACCAGTTTCTGGATAATATGTGAAGAGGAGACACGGCCAGGGAAATTTTTTTTTTTAAAAAGTCTGACTAGAATGGTTTATTGGTGTTATTTTCACTTCATATTGTCAGAAATCTCAGTTGCAGTGATGAAGTGAAAGATGATTTGATATGGGAGAATGAGAGCTATGTTCCCAGTAGTTCCAAGTTCTGTTAAGAACCAAAAGGGATTTAAGATTTTCTCTGTTAATGTCCTATATTGGGCTGATAATCTTATCTTTTTTCACTGATGGAGGCTGAGTTTTGATAAGAAGTATTGATTAGAATCCTTGCTTTATTTTCATCAGAACACATTATAGTAGTGACTAGAAAATCTAATGGCCATCTTCTGTACTTATTTAGAAGCCTTTTTACTAGAAATCTTGTTTAATTTAACAGAATCTGGGGTGCAGATCTTTCCAAAGCAGCTCTGAATTAACTCCGGTACCAGTATCAGGTTTACAATGCAGCAGAGGCTGCAGAACGAGCGCAAGAAACAAAGCAAATGAGCCCAGATTGAACCGTGTGCTGCTGTTGCTAGACAGTTACCCGTACTCGCTCTCACTGGTTTAAAGCTAGGTTGGGTGTATCCAAACTACCCTGCAGACACTGCAGTGTAGGCGTATCTGAAGTATCAGTCCTCTGCAAGTAGTACTGCTGGTAAATTAAGGGAAGCTGACCAATTCGTAAAAGGTAGGCTAATATCCAAGTGAGCTAAAGTTTCCCTAGGCACCACATAGATTGGAACCTTGCACTTGCTTCCTTTTATTTTTGGCTGCTTTTAGTACTCACGGGAGCCTTTTTATCCGTGTAACTCACACAGAGATGCAACAAAAGTAATGTTTTTTCATGTGCTTGTGTCAAGTGTTGCATTTATGTGTATAGCCATTTCAATGGCAGTTTTAGTTGATTTTTGTTCAGCATATCCCGTAGTACTTCAATCTTGATATATAGAACATGTGTAAAGTTCCATCAGAAACAAAGTAGTTCTTTGGATGGTTCCTCTTTTTAAATTTTTTTCTTGTCCCAAAGATGGCATCTGAGTTTTATCTAAACCAGACGGTTTCTTGGCCCTCATTTTTCCCTAAACCCAGCGATGACAAAGAGCAATGGCTGCATAAATTGGATGTGAGAAGAACACTTAGGGTTTATCACAGAAGAATCAAAGATTTCATATCTTCTGACAGATTGTTTGTACTCTTAGGGGGTCTTAAGAGGGGTCAAATGGCTTCTAAGAGTTCCTTAGCTAGATGGTTAAGGGATTGTATTAGGGAGGCGTATGTAGTTAAGGGTAAAGAGGCTCCCAGGGTTTGTAAAGCTCATTACACTAGGACTATAGCTGCTTCTTGGGCGGAGAGGTCGAAGGCTTCCACATTGGAAATTTGCAAGGTGGCCACCTGGGCTTCTCTTCATACTTTTTCATTGCATTATCGCTTGGATGTAGTCTCTTCTGCGGATTCTGCTTTTGGTAGGAGGTTGCTTGTGAACCAAAAAAAGAACAGTGAAGAAAAGAAAGACATGTAGTTCACAGTTCTAGCTGGCAACAAGACAAGTTTCTTTGCAGTGTGCACAATGGAATCCTATGAAGACCAATTTAGGCGGTTGAAAATAGATGTTAGAGGGAAGTACTGCCTACCAGTGTTCTCTGATGGTAACCCCATGGCAGACAATAGCACCAAAGGAAACAGTGAACCAGAGTGAACTCTGTAGGGAGATGGATGTAGAGAGTTTTTTTAGGTGATACGGACAGTTCTCTGTGTTCAGTTTGAGAGTTCTGTATCCAGCATCTTCTGGAATAGATGCAGAATCGTCGTTTTCCCAAATCGTTTTGCATAGATTGAAAAAGAATTCTATGGCTTTTGTTTTCCACTCTGACTTCTTTTCACTATTCGCCATCCACCTCTTCCTGATTTTATTTTTTGGCTTTCCTTTACCAGACCTGGCTTAGCATGTGTTCCTCAATGAGCAGTATGCCAAGTTTTGCGCTGGATTTCAAATTATATTTGTGTTCTCTAAGAACAATTAAAAAAAAGGTAACAGAAATACATATTTTATCTACTACCAGTGAGGTATTCAAGTGTGCTCTTAAATCAAATAAAAGGAGAAAATAATGAAAAGATCTTGGACAAATAAATGATGATGTGGTTTTGTTCCATCTCTGAACTTTAGTGTGGCATCTGGGCAAGACTACTACTCTGCCTTTCTGAGGAAAGCTATCTGTATTTTTCTAATGTTTACAGAACACTTATTCTCAGTGTTGCATGATCTTGCTTCGTTCCACTACAAGCAATAAGTTTCAGAAAATTAAAGGAGTAGCCAACCACCTTCTACTTTTTCTTGACCAGACATTTAACCCTTTCTTCTGTAGGTATCTTGATGTACCTACTGTGATGAGTTAGTCTACTTCTCCCTTTACATTCAGTTGAAATTCCTGAGATGTTCTGACATACCTAGTACGTACAGCACCACAGGGGTTGTTCTCTTTGAAGGAATCTGGAACATTCAGCTGCAGTCAAGGGTTAAGCAAGAGATTTTGGTTTAGAATCCTGCCAAATTGCATTCTTTCCCCATCTTTAAGGTAGATTTCTCTTCCCTCTGGCTTTTCAGAAGCCTCTTGTTGAGACTTTTAGAAAATCAAAAACATCTAACATACTTTCATCTATCTCTCACTTTTTTTTTTCCATTGCAGTGAGAAAAGTGAACTTTGGACAGATCAGATAATGAGTACCAAGAAAAGCTTTTTCCAGTGGAGCTCTTTGAAAACACTGTGGGCAAAGTTGTCAAGCCCTTAGGTTTACAAGCTTTGTCTCAGGGGACTGGGAAGATTTGCAAAGGTCTGTCCTTCACAGCATAAGAAGAAATTCTTTACTGTATATCGATTTCTGGAAAGTGTAATAAAGGGAGCATGGAATCAAATTTGGGAGGTGCATCCTCTAAATAGACTTCGAAATTGTAAAGATTCAAGAAACAAAGTTGTGATTTTTGCTTTGGTCTCAAAGCAAGATGTTCAAGTAGCTTCTTTAAGAAATACATAGCTTCAGCAGATCAATCCGAAGTGAAGATGGAATTTACACTAGGAGGAGTTTGATTTCAGATATGCATTTTTTGTATTTGTGTTATTACAGTATGTTCAATATAGTACAATAAAAAAAAAAGGCCACTATTGAAGACAGAAAGCAGGAAGGTTTTTTAATCTACAGCTAGTCAAATATTTTGTTTCTTCTGCTTATTAATACTTGTGGGGGAGAGGTATTTCCCATTTCTGCAAGACATATTATTTCCAGTACAGTTTCAATGAAATTTCAGGCTGAGGTGGCTGAATCCAACTAATAAGCCATTTTGATGGTGCTACTGTTTACCTTACTCACAGTTAGTAAGCTGTTGTACAAAAGGTTTCCTTCATGCTTTGCTCTTCTATGCTGCATGCAAGATTATATCACAATGACAGTTCTTATCACCCTTAGTCCTATTAAAAGAATAGGAAAACAGTGGAATTCTGTAGAAAAAATAATTTCATAGAACTTCATATAAGGAAGAAAAAGCATTATGTCAACAATGCAAGAGGTCTCCCTGTCATCATCGTTACATAACCAGAAAAATACTGAATTAGAGGAAGAATTAAATACATTGAAGACAAAGGGGACATAGCCAAAAAGATTTGCTTTAAAGAGAAGAATAATCCCAGACAAATTTTCATACACATAGGGAAAGTTGACTGAAGAGTTTTGAGCTTGTTTTGAATATTTACTGTCAAAATGATTCAAGTTGCCTGGCTGGTAAACGGAAGGAAGTACACAAAGTAAGAGCAGTTTGTCAAGTTTGTAGAACATAAGTTTCAAGAAAGATACAGCAAGGATTTATGATTAATCCAGTCTTTCCTAATAATGAAGAATTGTGGATGTGTAGAATATGCTCTGGAAAGAGCAAGAATGAAAAACTGAGAAGTTTTCCTTCAGCCTCCATCTTCTTCTTTCATCACATTCACTTCTTTCTGCCCTCTTTCTGTAAATTCTCTCTTCTGAGCATCCACATGAGAAGGATTGCATGCATTTCTGTCTATTTGTGCAAATGGAGTTTGAGGTTTGGAATTTGGGAGAAGAGAGGAGTGAAAGGATTTGTATAGAAAACTGTGGCTGTCTAGGTAAGGATGCTTCCTCCGTCCCAGTGCCTCCCTTCCTGTCTTCAGTGGCACACCAGTTTGGGCTGAGTAGCTTCACTACGGCAGTCGTACCTGTCTCTTGAATAAAGCTGCACTTTTATTTCCCGGCGGAGTCTGCTGATTAGGGCAAGACAGTCAGAAGACAAGTGAAGTAGTCATGGGACAGGAAGGAGGTAATTTGAAATGTCTCTCTGTGGAAACAGCATTTGAGAGGAAGGTTGTGGTAGCATCTGAAGTGCAGAGGCTTTGGCTTGTTGCTAGTGTGCAATGATCACTGAGAAGCAGGAAGGGAGCCCTTGCTAGCTGGAGGTTAAATTGAAGAGATTAAGGCCAAGATACCTATGTGAGATTTGGAAAAGGAAAAATTTGGGAAACCAAAGGAACTCAGTAAAAGATAGGAGACTTGACCTTGGGGCTTCCTTGGTAGGACCAGAAAAGTTTTTAGATGTGTGTGAGCCTGCATGCACATAGGTAGATATATATGAATACAGGACAAGAATGCCTGGGCTGTTAGTTAGAAGAGCAGGTGAGGAGATCTAGTAGAACCTGTTAATTTGAAAATAAAGGAACCTTTAACATGACTGATGCTGGCGGAAACATCATTTGGCTCTTCGCCTCTGGTCATGGAGACACAGATCTACCATCAGCTAGATACCTATTTATCTCAGCTGTGAGTTCTTAACAGGTATTGGCCGTTCCACCAATACGTAAGGATTTTAGGTTTAATGTTAAAGGTTTTCTTGAAAGTCTTGATATAAAAAAATATACATAGCTGATCTGTGAAGTGACAATAAAAGCATGTGAATATGTAGATATTCAATTGTGCTTATAATTACAATCAGATGTTATATCTATAAAAAAAAAGAATTGCAAGGGGAAAAAAAGGCAAATGTAAGGTAGAAAGCGCAGAAAAGAAGGAAAATATCCAGTCAAAAAAAACAGTTAGTTTTTTGTTTGTTTGTATTTTTTGTTCTTGAGTAATTTCTAATGAAAACCGTAAAAAACTTCTGCATAAAATACATTAAAACATATTGAAAAAAATGGTGAGTTTATGGTGCTGTCTGTAACATGTTGAATGATCAGGGAGCTAGAAGACTTGGATAGTCTCTTCTGGTTTTATATTGTACCACTTTATCTTTCATTTTTCCCAGCTCAAATCTGTATTTCCCTGAGGTCTTTTGAAAATGCAAACGAAAACAGTGCTTGGGAAGAAAAAACCCCAAAACCTTGAAGCTTTAGAATGCTGTATAGGTGTACAAAAAGTGGAGTGTTCATTTTCAGAGCGTGAATTGTTCAAGGGAAAGACAAATTCACTTTGGGTAAATGGCGTCGTATGTATGTAGACAAACTAGGGATTTCATAGAAAGAGAAAAGCTCTTTAAACCTTGGCCATGTGTACTACCAGTACCTTCAAGTGACTGAAGAGCTATAAGTTTATGCTTAGAAGATAATCTTTAAGAATGCTGGACAGCACCCAATCATTTAAAACTTCTTGGTTTTAATTTCACATGAGATACCTTAAATTAGGAGTACCTGTATCTGTGTGGCTTACCAGCTTTATGCTAGGAGACGGATTTTAAAAATACCATGTTGTTTGGTTTTATTGTCATGTTTCTTTTGAAACACAGACACATAGAATCTCAGAACGGTTGAGGTTGGAAGGGACCTTTGGAGGTTGTCTGGCCCAACAACCCGTGCTTAAGCAGAGCTGTGTACAGCCAGTTGCCCAGGATCATGTCCAGACAGCTTTCGAGTATCTCCATGGATGGAGGCTTCATAGCTTCTCTGGTCAACCTGTTCCAGTGCTCAGTCACCCTCACAGTAGAAACATGTTTCCTCATGTTCGGAGGGAACCTCCTTTTTTTCCATCTGTGCCCATTGCCTCTTGTCGTGTCACTGGCCACCACTGAGAACAGCCTGGCTCTGTTCTCTTTACACCCTCGCTTCAGGTATTTACATACATTAATGACATTCCCCCCCTGAGCCTTCTCTTCTCTAGGCTAAGGAGTCCCAGGTCTCTCAGCCTTCCCTGATAAGGAGAGTTGCACCAGTCCCTTAATCATCTTCATGGCCCTTTGTTAGACACTCTCCAGTACATTCATTGACCTGCTGGCCATGCTTTATCTAAGGCAGCCCAGGATACCATCAGCCTTCTTTGCAGCAAGGGCACATTGCTGGCTTAGTTCAACTTGGTGTCCACGTGGACTCCAAGGTCCTGTTAGGTAAAGCGGCTTTCCAGCTGGGCAGCCCCAGCATATATTGGTGCCTGGGGTTGTTCCTCACCAGGTACAGGACTTTGCACTTCTCCTTGTTGAACTTCATGAGGTTTTTGTGTGCCCATTTCTCCAGCCTGTTGAGGTCCCTCTGGATGGCAGCATGACCCTGTGGTGTATTAGCCGCCCCTCCCTGTTTGGTGCACTCTGCCCCATCATCTAGATCATTAATGAAGATATTAAACAGGGCTGTATCCAGTACTGACCTCTGAGATACATCACTAGTTACTGGCCTCCAACTAGGCTTTGTGCCACTAATCACCACACTCTGGGCCTGGCTATTCAGCCAGTTTTCAACCCACCTCACTGTCTGCTTACCCAGCCCGTACATCAAGAGCTTGTCTACAGCTTGTCCCATAACAGGATCTTACGGGAGACAGTGTCAAAGGCCTTACTGAAGAGAAGGTAGACAGTATCCATTGTTCTCCTCTCATCTACCAAGCTTCATAGAAGTTTATCTAGTTGGTCAAGCATGCCTTCCCCTTAGAGAAGCCGTGCTGAGTACTCCTGATGAATTTTTTGTCCTTAATGTGCCTGGAAATGGTTTCCAGGATTAGCTGCTCTATCACCATCACAGGGATTGAAATGAGGTTGACTGGCCTGTGAGTCCTCCTTCTTGCCCTTCTTGAAGGTAGGAGTGACATTTGCTTTCTTACAGTCTTTGGACTCTTCTTCTAGTCGCCATGATTGATCAAAGATTGGACTTGCAATGACATGTGCCAGCTCCCTCATCACTTGTGGGTGCATCCCATCAGGCCTCATGGACTTACCTATGTCCATTTTGCTTAAGTATTCCCAGACCTGATCCTATTCCACCAATGGTACATCTTCCTTGCTCCAGCCTTATGCCCTGGTCTCTGGGACCTGGGATTCCTGAAGTCTGGTCATGCTAGTAAAGACTGAAGCAAAGAAGGCATTCAGTACCCCAGCCTTTTCCATATCTGTGTAACCAGGTCCCCCATCTCGTTGAGCAATGGGCCCACATTTTCCCTAGTCTTCTATTCATCACCTGTGTACTTCAGAAGCCCTTCTTGTTGTCTTTGACAATCCCTGGCCAGATTCAGTTGCTTTCGGGCTTTAGCTTTCCTAATTTGTCCCTGGATGCTCAGATACTGTTTCTGTGTTCCTCCAGTTACCTGTCCTTGCTTTCACCCTCTGTATGCTTCATTTTGAGTCTGAGTTTTGCTAGAAGGATCTTCTTCATCCATGCCTCCTGGCATGGATATTTTTTCATGAAGTTTTTTCAACTCTTTTGAGCTTGGAGGAGGTTTTTCTTGAATATTAAACAACTTTCATGGGCCCCATTTCCATCGAGGGCCTTATCCCATGGGAGTGTTCCAAGCAGATCTTTGAAGAGGCTGCTCTCCTGAAGCCCAGGGTTGTGAGCTTACTTTTCACCCTCCTCCCTGCCCTCAGTATCCTGAACTCCACCAGCTCATGGTCACTGCAGCCAAGGCTGCCTTTGACCTTCACATCCCAAACAAGCCTCTCCTTTTTGGTGAGTATGAGATCCAGCAGAGCGCCTCTCCTCGTTGACTCATCTGTCACTTGGAGGAGGAAGTTATTGTCAATGCATTCCAGAAACCTCCTTGATTGCTTGAAACGCTCATGAAAGTGATATCTACCCCAGATATTGGTTTGTCCTTGTCAAAACTGGGGCAATATTCCCATTACTCCAAGATTTATGAGTAAGCTTTGTACCAGCCCTTCTTAAGGAGCTTCACTTGTTCTTGCTCCTGTCGCCATTATTTTGCTTATAATAACTGTACTAATTAACTGTCTTTTTATTCTTATCATATTGGCGTTTCCAAATAAGTAAAAACTATAAAAATACATTAGTGTGCAATTCATATAATTTATTGAACAAAGAATAGAAATTAATTTCTACACAGCTGTTCTAACATTATCTTTTCTCCCTAGGAATAGGTGACTGCACAATCAGTATAAAAATGAATTAATGACAAAAGAAACTATATTTTACACATTATGTGTGCGTTTGTATAAAATATGAATACAATGAGATGTGGATTTCATCATGTTATATAAAAGGAGCTGTGTATAACCTGAATTTGACTTTATCATAACATTAGTATTCCCCTACATCTTGTTGAGGGGGTTTTTTTGCTTCATATTGATATATCAGAAGGTGTTGTAGGCTGCTGACTTTTCTACAGAATTAATCTTAACTTTGATCCCTTTTATCATACTGTGCAGGAGTTCTGAAGAAAGCTAGTGGGGAGCTTTTAATAGGAGAAACTAGAGCAAATGAAACCAGTGTGCTTCCTGAACAGTTACTTCAGGTAGAAGAGGTGAGTATGAAAAGAGTCTTACACTTTGTAGGGGATTTTCTTTTGTCTGTGTCTCCAGTGTAGTCTGTCACCATGTTCATTATAAACTCCTATTGCCATAGTTTCATTGTTTAGCTACTGCAATTAATTTTAGGTGCCAAGTCCCAGTTAAGATGGAGTAAAATCTTACGGTATTCATGAATAAATGGTTGTTATTTTAGATTTAATAAGAGAACAGATTTAACAGCAGAAGTATAGGATAACTTCAGAACAAACATTAGAAGAATGCTAAGATATGATAGCTTTCGTCAGTATTAAACATATTCTCAAATACAGCAGAATCTTAAAAAAATATATCAAGTTCTTAGCATTTGATCATAGCGATGCTTCCTATAGGTGTAAGTACTCAAGCAAAGTCCAGTTTCTTTGATGCAAAAAAACCTACTGTGTAGTAAGCGCTATGCTTTGTAGAATGTATGTACAAGATTTAAGTTTTAGTCTGGCTTCCATTGTTGAATTTATTGGACGTAAATGTTCTAACAACTCTGTTATTTTGCGATAGTGAAACTTAATTTCCTAATGGCTCAATTTTAATGCTGAAATGACCTTTTAAAATGTGCTTTGAATCACTTCATGAGACTAATGTTCCTGTATTTTATGGATTACAAAGAACAACGTTTTGAGAAGATTTACTTGACCCAAGACAAAAAAAAAAAAAAAAAAAAAAAAAAAAAGAAGGAATTCAAATGCAAAAATGGGTGTCCGTGGGGGCTGTCTCTGTGCTTGCTACACTTGAGTGTTGGGAGTGGGGAAAGGGAAAGGAAGGAGGAGGTAGCTTCTAAATTGGAGTAAGCTGGAAGGGCTTCACTTCATAGCCCTTCATTATCTTCTCATTTAGTATTATAGCTGCAACTTGTTAGGAATCCTTTTCTTCTCTCCTAGTATGCCCTCATGGTGGGGATCTTTACTATACATCTTACGTCATTAAAATATTTCTCTTACAGTGGTGCAGTTCGCAATTGGCCACTTCTGGTAGGGTTTAAGTCTGCTGGATGTCATATGAGCAATGCAAAGCAAGATTAGTGGAAAAGTAATGATGTCCTACTGTGTCTTCTAACAACTGTTACGCTTCATATAATTCCAGAAGTCTCTGTTTATAGGAGGCAGGGAACTGATGTAAACCATAGTAAAAGCCAGCATTGTCTAAAAACTAGAAATCTCTATCTGAACATTTTGATCTTTGCTAAATCCAGCTCTAGAGAAGTGAAATTCGGTGTGGCTGTGCTTAAAACCAGCTTCTCTAAATGTTTTCCATTAATATTCATGGTAAGTAGCTTCCAGTTGTTACCTTGGAGTGAAAATTATTGCAGGGTATTCATGGCTGGATTACTTGTTAAACTATTGAAAATGGTTATAAATGTATTTAACTTCATTAAGTAGATTCTGTTAAAGATTCTAAATAATGTAAAGATGAAGCCTGGCTTTTTAAAAGCAGTCTTGTTTAAACAGGGGTTTTTATAAATTTATTTCTTAAAAATCTGATCGCAAATTTAATGTTGTTATGCATGTTCATTTTTGTTGAGTGTATATACTGCTTTTAATATGTTTTTGATGGTAGCAGATATTTTAAGTTCTTAAAATGAATTTCAAAAGCTGTTTGTGTCCTTTAATTTAATTATGGATATTCATATAAGATTCAGACAATAGTAACACTGAATAATGGATTTGGATTGATTTAATATAAATATGTATTTCAGCCTATTTTACTGAATTTTGGCTGGAGAAATGCATTTAAAGACCTGTCTTCTTCTGTGGCTCATTGTATAACAATAGCAATTGAGGATTTTTCAACTAAAATTCTTCAACATGAGCAGAAAGAAGAGTTTTCAGCTGCAGGCTATGCAATGAGTCTTGTAAACAACCAGCAAATGAGGGAGTCCTGCAGAGCGGTCCAACAGGAGGAGCAACCAAAACGAATCGCTAAGGCAGGTATCAAAAGATCTGAAGTTTGAGGGGAGACAGAATGCCAAGGCTGTTTGCCATCTACACTTTGAAGTACTTACAGTACCATTAATATTCTATATCTTATATAAATGGAATTAAGAAGAAAGTGAGAGTCTCACAATATGAGACTGAACAGAGCTTTATACAATAGCCCATAGTCTATACTTGAAAGAATTAACTTTTAAACTTCACTGGCATTATTTTTTTCATCCAAAAAGTTCTAAAACATTCCGATTAGTATCTGCTCTGTTACCAAGTGGTTCGATGGGAAAATGCTGAAAGCTTTGAAGCGTAGCTATAAAGGGATTTCCTGCACTCATAATCTGAGACACGCCATTTAACTAATCAGCATAACCAATAATATGGCCAAATTAGAGTTCTTTGATTTGGCTGAGAGGTCGTTGGTGATAATTAATTAAATTGTTTTTCTAAGGGAATATGTATTTGAAAGTTTTTTTTTATTTAATAAGCTTTGCAGCTGTTCTAGCAAATTTCGAATGCTGTTAATGAATGTTTGCTGAATATAACATATAAGCTTTTTAGAGATTATTTTAGGGAGATCATTGTATGAATTTACTAAGAGATGACAACTTTGTTTTTAAATTCAGTATGAAAAAATGTGTTTGTACGTTTTTCAAAATAGATTTGTTTAGAAAATTATCTTTGTTTACAAGGAATTAACCTTATGCTTTGAATGTACATCTAGTGAAATCATAAACAAAATGAAGGAATTACTAACATAAGATGGTTTTAATTTTTTTCCCCCAATATATAATGCAGCTTTAAAGTGAGAAGGAATGAAATAGTAATTCATTTACTGGGGATAAATGTTTCTCCCTTGTATAACAGAAAGAAATTATTGTGAAGCTGATTTAATGTATTTATGTTTTATGCCGATTTCATTATTCAAGAATCTGACCCTAGTGTGTATAAATTAAACAGTGCTGTCAGAATACAAATAACTTGATGCCACGTTTATTTCTCTCAGTTTTGTTCTGACATCATGGAAGAACTTGACACATTGCTTCCATTGGCTCTGGCATGCAGAGATGATTCTCTTCAGGAAATTAGAGCAAACTTTGTAGAGGCCTGCAGCAAAGTGGCAACAGCTGTCCTGGAAAGACTAGAGGAGAAGAGCAAAGATGTTCCCTCCAAGGCTCCCCTGCAAGACTTGTATGCTGCCCTTTCCACAGCGATATATGTCTTTCAGCATTTTACAATGTATAGCAATTTAATGAGAGAAACAAGCAAAAAGTGAGTCCTTTTTAGTTATAATGTTTTAATTCAAACATAAATAATAAGGGACCTCATTCCATTTTGGTGATGCGGTATGGTTGTAGTTTTCCAAATTGCATCATGTTTTTTTAGCACACGCACTGCATGTACTATTTATGGAAAAACCTGAATCAAAGCTATTGATAATCTAAAGCAGCCATTACAAAACAAATTATTTGTGTTTATGATCTGCATTTGATTTGCAGATCAGTATTTTTCGTTTATTAAACTTCAGTAAATAGGATTGTCCAGTGAACTGAATGCACTCTACTGTCACATAAATAGAGGGCTAAGGCCTTAATTTCCTTTTCTGACCTTTGCAATAGCTGAATTTTCATAAAATCTGATTTAGCACATGGCAATCTTAGAGGACAGTGTAAATACAAATTCCCATGCTTTTTCATTACACCATCTGTATTCAGAAATGTGAACAAATGCATCCATTGTAGTTTTAGAATTTATTTTTCATTGCATGCAGAATAAAAACTAGAGAAGAAATGTAGTAATAGTGTAAAGTCTAAGAGACTGTTTGACCTGGGGACAATATAATTTTTCTGTGCTTTGAGGAGATTTTGGCTTAAGATACTGGGAATCTCTTTATTGGTCCATGTGTTTCTGGCCAAAGGTAGTTTAAGAGTAGAAACTGGGCCTTTTGGGAGGGAACCTGAACTAGTGCAATTTTAAAGGAATGAATGATTTCTAAGGGGTTTTATGCACTGTGAGCTACTTTCCTTCTGATGTTTTACTCCCTCCTGCATGAAGTGTATTTTTGTGAATGGGAAGATATTGTTCAATAATTCTTCGTTTGTGTACTATGAGTTTTAGTACATACCTACCAGAAATAATCCCTGGACTCTGTGTTTATGTTTTCTTTATCATGCTTAGTGCTGATGCAATTATGCTTCAACCCAGAATCTCCCAGTAACTGAATGACAAATGTACTTTTGTCTCAGAAAATCGGATGAAGTAATATATTTCTCAGTGCCTTGTTTAAATGAGAATTTTTAAATGAGCAGATACATTTAAAGAACTTGTGAAACAAAGACCAGATACTTTTCAAAAGCAAATGCTAGGTTCAGACTCCAGGACTGAGAGGAAATGAATGATTGATACCTAATAATCAAAACCATTTGCAGTACTGGGGATTGTTACCTCCTACTGCACAGCCTTTCAATCTTTGCCTCTTTGATCATTCTCTCTGAACAGAGCCCTGTTCCTAGTGCCTGTCCAACAATATCAGGAATTCATCAGCGTTCTTCAGTTTCAAGTTATGAACTACTGCGTCAGAGTTTGTGCTACAAGCATTTTGCAGGATGCTGAGAGCCACCACTGGGATGACTACAAAGCTTTTTATGAGGTGTGAGGTTAAGTTTACTGTGCCTCCCTTTTACAAAATGTGTTTTACTGGTTGCCAGTTCTCTGACTAATTAGAAGCATAAGATCAGCATTCTTTTACACAGAGATTATTGGAATTTACTATTCTAATTACTCTACGAAATATCTATTATTGCAGGGAAATGTCTCTGTAGAAATGATGTAGGAAAACATAGTCATTTAAAGATGAGATAAATCATTACCATGGAGTTTTTATGTCATTTCCTTAATAAAATACTGTGTCAAGTTCAAGACATTTATATAGAACTCAGTGAGGAAGACACCGTCATTTTCACTCTTCTTATAGAAAGTGTGACATGTGAAAATGAAAGACAGCTCTTTTTCCTCTCAAAATTTTTATTCTGATTCTTTGATTTTTGTTTTCAATTGACTCCCTGTTTGATCTTTTGTGAGTGAAGGATGTAACAAAGAAAGATGGTCAATATAGTTACTTTCAGCATTCAACAGTGTATTCTGAAATAACAAGTGCCCCTTCACCTGCATTTTGAAGTCACAGGTCTGCTCTTGAGCTATAATCCTAATGATTCTGTGAAAAAACCCTAAGGATCAAGTGAATTATTATAGTTTATTAAATTATAATATATTTATATAAATATTAAGTTTAATTAAGCTAAATGCAGACATCTTCTGACATATACTGTTTGAAATTATTTTCACTTAATTTTAGGATGAAGTGAAAGCATTTTTTGTTGGGTTTTTTTTTTTTGTCAATAATAACTGAGATCTCCTGGAGAAAAGTCCTGCCCTTCCTTGTATTATTTGCTGTGTGAGAGAATTAGGGAGTTTTGTTAAGCATTTTCTAGAATTCTTACATGAGACAAAAATCTGTGTGATACATGTATTCTACTACACGTATTCTACAGATGTACTATAAAAGCTGCTGAGTCAGTGACAAAAATCAGTAATATACAGGTGATCCAGGCCTTAAGACAAGTAATCTATCAAAATGCCCCTCCCTCAAAGACAAGCAAATAAGCTTTTCACTTTTCTTTGAATGTGAGCCCGGATGTCCTGGGTTGGTAAGAAGGTAAGAAATTTAGTGACTTTTGGCAGGTGATACGTCATGACATGATCTTCACTGTCTGTAGTCCATATGGTGCTGTGTCCGGTTTATTAGTGACCCAATAACAATTCACCATGCAGGAAACCTAATTGTCAGAAATAGCTGTCTCAAGAAGGAGGAGTATGGACTAGCTAAAGAATTTTATCATTGCTGATCAGAACTGATGTGTGTAGGAAGGGATGAAGAATGCTGGTATCTCAGCTCTGTACCATTGCAGGACTTGAAGTGGGAAGTATGTAATTTTACATCATCACTCTACTCTTTTTGAGGGGCCATGGGCCATGGCCCAAGGATGGACCATGATCTGTCTGCTCACAGTGCGTTCAGGAGGCATGATGCTGAGCAGCTGCTACTTCCATTGAGCTCTTGCAGGCATCCCAAATGGAAGAGATTGGCTTAAGACCTATTGCTTGTTACAGAGACAACACCCTGCTGAAACTTCCAGCAGCGAGAGGTGGCTCCTTCCGAGGTCTAAGCTCAGGAGGAGATGTGAGGCTCTGCCTCTCAAGTCATGCAGATGCTGCTTAGCTCAGAAAACAAGAGTAGCTCAGAGCCAGGCACCAGAAGACCTTGCCAGTCATCAAGTGCAGGCTCTGGTATGAGTTCCTCCTCTCTCAGTGGGAACGCACTCTTGCACTTGTGCGAGTCAGTGCCTCATAGCCCTTGATGCGTTTTCAGCAGGGTCCGCTGCTGTAAACAGCATCAAGATCTGGCTTCTTTAAGGGAATCTGCGCTTGGCTCTGCTTCTGCTTGTCTCTTGAGTAACCTGGCTCTTGAATCCAGTTTAGGTCAGGACCCTCGCTACCCTTTCCCCTTTGTGCCACAGTTTTGAGTGTTACATTGCAGCTATAAAAGATTCAATCCTCATCTGTGAATCCTGAATGCAGTTTCATAAAGGGAAAAAAATACATTCCCTTGTGCTCCCACAAAATAAGCAAAACATAGCCCGTCCTTTGGTTTTGTGTGCATGAGTAGGGGAGAAGGAAGAGAAAGAAAACTTTTTCATTCCTGTATTGCATGCTTAATTACAAGCTAAATGGCAATGCTACACTTCAGGGATCACATGAAGTTACTCTTTTCTTTTTCCCTGATAGTATAGGGCATTCAGGTTGTATTAGAAAGAATGTGTGATAGCCTTCCTTTCCATTCCCCACTAATGACATATCGACTAATGAAACTTACTTGATGTGTAAGTCATCCAGAAAGAAGACAAAACCACTGAAAGACAAAGGGA